CCCTATTATAATCTCAAATCAAAAAATTAAAAGATCAGCTAACTTCTTTAATTTTTCCGTATCAAACAGTGTGGATTTTTAATTATCTTTTATTCAGTAACAGCAGAAATTGTATAGTTAAAGGATCCATAAGACAGAAAGCAATGTATATCCCAAGGGTTCAGACCAAACATCCAATCAGGACTGCCCAGCATTTAGCTCCAGTGGCCTTCAACACCAGCCATGAGGAAGTGATGCCACAGAAATGAATCGTTAAATAGGTTGAATGTTCAGAGAGGGCTGTATCTAAGCCAACATTTGGAAAGTTGAGTGGAAGGAAAAAAAATATGGCAGCAAAAAGTGCACAGATGACATTCACATTCCTTGGAGGACTGAAGCAAAGCCTGATCAAGGTTTTTGCTTTAAAGTCCTGGAATACAATTTCCCAGTAAGATGTGGCACATAGCCCCACTGCCAAACGGACCAAAAGCCAACAATCTGATTATGAATATTTATTCATAGATAATCTATGTAGTATTGTCTAGAGAGAGAGAGACAATCCAGACAAGATGAAGGCCACTATTAAATACAGTAGTTTAAGCACATGCATCAGTGCAGTGAATTAACCTGTGCAGATGGGAGGCACCTGGTTCAGGGACTGAGCACAGCAAATACTGTATTTTCCAGACAGTAAGCCGCTACTTTTTTCCCACACATTGAGCCATGCGGCTTAGAAGAAGGTACTGCTTTTCTGTGGATTTCTCCTAACCGCTAAGTCAAAGTTGCGTATGAAAGAATAAGTGGCTAATTTTCATTTAGCACAAGAACATGCTAGCAGCAAGCATGGTGGAGAACAAATGACCCGAATTCACACATTTTAACATTTATTTGCAGCATTAAAGCTGCAAATAAGGAAGGAATCAACTCAATTGCTTTATTGTAGGTTTTTACAATGGTATGTTTGAACGTTTTTGGAATGACTATGACCTGGATGACTAAGAATCTTCACCAGTATATAATGCGTGACCTAGAGAAAAAAACAACTAAAATGTAGATAATTTAATCATATTTTAACGGACTGCTCTGAGCATGTCCGATGATGATGTCAGACAATCAGTTTTATTAGAGAAAATGTTAAAAGCATCAAAATTGTCTCGGACATTTTTTTAAAGATGTGTATTAGTATTCTTTTGTGAGTTAAGGATAGAAATAAGTAATTTAATTACTTTATTTATGGAAACCTGGATTTATATCTGTTTGCCCATCTGCAATTGAGCTGATGGGACGGATCGTGCTTCCAGGACAGATCAGGTAGTGACAGCTCTTACTGCTGCCAGCATTCTCCTTCATCCCTACTCCAGGGGCTATATGTAGAGCTCCCCCTAGAGGTTTGCTGTGGAACATTTCAGCAGGTATCAGTGGTTTATAACCCTGTGCGGCTTAAGCCTGGTTTATGCACAGAAACCAGGTCGTCTGCGTGTGTGTCGCAGTTAACGCAGATATGCCCCCCCCCAACTTCCAGAAACACTCTGATGCACCTCCCCAAAATTGTAGGTGACCCCAGACAGTGCTGCAGGGGAGGAAAGAAAGGAGGCCTCTGATTGGTCAATTCTACATCCGTTCTACACTATGCGTAAATCCTGTTTTGTTCCTAATGGCAGAAGCTCTGGCTGTAGTGCGGTCCTCAGACACTATCCCAGACACGGTGCAGGGCGCTAGTTTGTAGCTCTGTGCGTTGGTTTGCACCCGAAGCCAAAACATGCTAGCCTCGTGAGACCATCCTGATCTCGCGAGCTTTCAAGATTCCACTCGCTAGTCAGTCTGGAGACTCTCTGTTGAAGAAAATTTGGCGCGTTCACCAAACGAACGTCCAATCAGTGTTGGCTTTGAGGCGGGTTGAGGTGTGACGCAACGAGAAGCGCGACAGTTCAGTCTAAAGAACATGGCGGCTTCAGCCGATG